ATAATGTACCCATAGGAAAAAAGTGAGCTTTCTTTGGCTTTCTTGCTCCTTGTTTGTGTGATGGCTTCCACCATTTATGATACAGCAAGAAGGCCCTCCTCACCAGATGCTGAGCAGATGCTGGCATGTGCTTGTGAACTTTCCAGCCTCCAGAGCCATGAACCAATCAAAATCTTTTCTTTATAAATTACCTCATACCAACTATTTTGTTATAGAAAAAGAACTAAGACCCCCACCCGCTGCCCAGATCTGAGTGGCAGCTTAAGAGGGATTTCATTTAGATTCCCTCAAAATTTGGGAGATGATATTTTCCAGGGTCGAAGGGGGGCTTATTTTTCAATTCTCTCACGACCTTGCCATCTCTTCAATCAGGCAGCTGTCCTATTCACAGGAGGACTGTTAGCCTTCTCCTGAACCCAGCTGGGAGCTCTGCTGAGGGTGCTCTTGGAGCAGGCCCTTAAAGTACATCTGGCACACTTAGGGCCACATGTGCCCACTATCCAAGAGGCACTGGGAAAGAAACAGCAGTGAGATGCATTCAGGACTAAAGTTCAGTGCCCTCTGCAGATTCCCTGAATCCTACAGCCTTTTCCTGTTACCCTGTCCTATGAACTCCAGCTGTCTTGGTCAGCCTGAAATCTCAGCTACATCTCAACTCAGGGGCTTACCTGATTCTGCCTGGGTTTCCCCTCCCTGCACTTATTTGAGGCACTAAGTTGGGGCGATTATAGGGCTTGCCTTGTTTCCTGTCTCAGATCAGTTTTCCTTGCTTGATGCCAAGTATCTTTAAAACCAAAAGTTTTTTTGTTTTTTTCAAGTGGGAAGGTAAATCTTATCTGTTGGTTCATCTTGGCTGAAAGTGGTAGTTCACCCACCACATTTTTTTTCTTTTTTGGTTCTGGGGATTGAACCCAGAAGTGCTTAACCACTGAGCCACATCCCCAGACCTTTTTTTTTTTTCTTTTTAAAAATTTATTAGAGACAGAGTCTTGCCGATTTGCTAAGGGGCTCACTAAGTTGCTGAGGCTGGCTTTGAACTCTCGATCCTCCTACCTCAGCCTCCCAAGCCACTGGGATTACATGCATGTGCCACAGTGCCCAGGTCATCCACCACATTTTATTCCTAGTAGAAAAACCTCTCTATATAACTTTATTTCCAATGATAAAATGTATTTTTAAATTACATATTCATATAGCCCTTGCTATGTGTAAAAAACTTTTAGGTACTTTTGCATATGGGTATTAAGGCATATAATCCTCACATATCTTTATAATATTATTACTCCATCTTACAGATATAGAAACTGAGAAACAAAATGGTTAGTCGCATGATCAGATAGGTGACAGAACTGGGATCTGAACCCTGAGAGGTTACATAGATGCTTTGGGACATTTATGTATTAAAATATGTAGACATCAACTCACCCATTTATTTCTGTTTCTTCCTCTCATCTATATTATTTATATATCTTGGCTAGCATGTTTTGAGCACCTAATGTTTTCTACCAAGGTTCTGAGACACTGGGGAGCAACCTTTGCTGTCTGCCTTGATGCTCCCTAGCTGTGGGATTTTGGGCATGCGCTTATGTCTCTTTCTATGTGTGTCTCTCTCCCTCCTCTCTCTCTCTCAGCAGTGCTGGGGATCAAATCCAGGGCTTTGTTTATGCTAGGACAGCACTCTACCATTGAGCTACACACCCAGCCCTATGGCAACTCTCTCTTGTAGTTGCCTCATCCTAAAATAGGAATAAGAATATATTTACCAAGTTGTTGTGAATGTGAAATGAGTTAATATGAAAGGAACTTTTTACAGTTTCACATACTAGTACTATATAAGCATTAGCTTTTCTTGTCATGTTTGCTCAATGCAAGACAGCCCACAATGAGAAAGACTAGGGGCTGGGATATAGCTCAGTGGTTAAATGCTTGCCTAGAATGTATAAGGCCCTAGGTTCAATCCCCAGCATGGAGTTGGAGGCACTGAGAGGAAGAAGGGCTGGAAGAAAATAAAAATAGGAGGACTTTTATCCTAGTTGCTGGGATGAGGAGGAGGATATGAAGATGATGTTTAGTTTCTCTTCCAAAGAATGGTACTGGCTATATGTTTTGTCTATATCTTTAGTTGTGGGTTTAGGAAACTGCCTAGAAGAAAGGTCCATTCCTCATCTTAGTTGTTTTTCTAACGTGCTTCCCTTTGGTAAGACCCTCAAAACTCCCTTAGGTGTTAGGTTTGAGGACTTCTTATTTGGCAGGCTATGGATAGAACAGCTAGAAAACAGAAGTTGACAAGATATGTGGGGATGGCACACGTCTCACATAAGTGTCACTCTGTGTGTGTGTGTGTGTGTATGTGTCCATCCTTCAAAGAGAAGACTTAAGATACTCTGGTAGTATGGTTACCCCACTAGATCCTGGGGCACCTGGAGTTGGAGGCATGGAGAGAAAGGAAGGCTGGAAAGTGTTTGTGCCTGATACTCAGACTTGGTCAGTGGTTGGTTCGGTTTCAGAATCTCCGTCTTATGTGTGTGTGTGAGTGTGTGTGAGTGTGTGTGTGTGTATGTGTGTGTGTGTGTGTGTGTGTGTGTGAGAGAGAGAGAGAGAGAGAGAGAGAGAGAGAGAGAGAGAGAGAGTAGATCAATCTCCAATTGATAATTATGCACATTACTAGGGACAAACTGTGGGGAAATGCACAGGCTGTAATATGTAGTTCCACTATTGTGGAGGAAGAGGGTCGAAAGAGACCTGGCTAGGAGTTCAACCTTAAGTGTGGGCAGCTGGAAAGCTGACTCCCTTCTCCCCAGCTGTTTACCTTGAGGTGAGGCTCTGGAGCTCTGTTCTGGATCTTACTACAGTCATCCCTCTGTATCCATGGGGAATTGGTTCCAGGACCACTCACTTATACCAAAATTGTCAGATGCTTAAGTCCTCTATATGAAATGGCATAGCATTTGCATATAACTTAAGTATATATTTCCAGATAATTTAAATAATCTCTACATTGCTGTTAATACCTAATACATTATAAATGGTAGGCAAATAATTGTTGTACTATATTATTTAGGGATTAAAGACCAGAAAAAATCTGTACATATTCAGCACCAATGCATTTCCCTCCTGAATATTAGATCTGTGATGGGTTGAATCCATGGAAGAGGAACTTGTGGTTATTGAGGGCCAATTGTATTCGGTGATGGGCTGGTACAGTAGCAAAGAAAATAAAAAGACACACGTGAGACAGCCTGCGTCCTCTTCCATTTTCACCATGGTCTTGGAGCTTTTCTAAGAAGTTAAGAGGAGAAAAAAAAAGACAAGCTCACAAGTTCTGCTGGCCTTTGTGCTTGTCTCTCTGCTTGGCCCAGGCCCTGCTTTCATTGTCTGACTTGGGTGATAGGTTCATAATGGCCCCATGGAAGACGTGGTTGTGGACAATGGAGAATCTCACAGTAGGGATATCCAGAAAGACCACATGAGAATCTTGGAAGAGTAAGAAACTGAACTTGGAGAATTCCAGAAGGCCACAGGGTGGATAGGTGTTTGTTCCAAGTCATTTGGTGTATATGGATTCTGATATTATCCATTGAATGTCTACAATTCACTATTGTTCATGAATAAATTCATTAAGACAGTAATGAATAAATTCATTGACAGTAGAATAAATCAGACATTTTCCTATGTTCATATATGAATACACAACCAGTGTAATTCCACATCATGTACAGCCATAGAAATGTGAAGTTATACAGTCTACTGTCATATATAACTAAAAAGAATAAAAAGTTAAAAAAAATAAACTCAATTATTCATTCACATAATCACAAAACATCCAGCTACCAGAGCAGCCAGAAACTTCTCTGAATACTGATGGCCCAAATGGTTGCTATTTTGAAACTAAACTCCTGAGTGGTTAGCAGGAGAGATTTGTACCAATAGGGGGTAGATCTCAGGGCTGTCCAAGAACTTGGCACTCCACTAGTTGGGGAGAACCCCTGTCTTCCTACAGTGAGATCCCAAGGCCAGTCCAGTCTGGGCACAGGGAGGGAAGCAGTGCCAGCAGTGGCCAGTGGTGGTGCCCTCAGGCACTTAAATCAATGTGCCCTGCTGGGTGGGAAGGCTGTTTTTCTCAGGGGTCTGTGATCTGGGGGAAGAAACTGCAAAGCTTTCATCATGACCTTGCCAGATTTGCAGGCCTCTTCTCTGCTTCCAAAGGTGCTCAGAGCCCTCCTAACTTGCCCTTCACCTCCCATTTCTAAAATTATACATATTTTGGGGGCCCTGCAGTGTCCTCTAGTTTTCCCCACTTTCTTTCCACGCCCTGACCAAAAGTCACAGAGTACCTTGAACGTTCTGTGACCCAGTCAGCAGCAGGTGTTCCCCCAGCAAGCTGATGTTCAAGCTAGGGTCTTAGAACATCCCCTGCAGGGACATGTTTACATAATGTTATGGTTTGGATCCTAGATGTCCCTCAAAAACCTATGTTTTGAAAGCTTAGTAGCCAGTCTATGGTGTTGCTGGAAAGTGGTGGAACTTTAGGATGTGAGGCCTAGTGGAAAGAAGTTAGGTGACTGGGTGTGTGCACCTGGGAGGGGGGCATTAGGACCCCAGCCCTTTACTCTTTTTTGCCTCCTGGCTTCCATGAGGTTTCCTCCACTGTGATATTCTGCTATGCCATAGGTCTCAAAACAATGGGGCCAAGTGACTATGGCTAAAACCTCTGGAACCACGAGCCCAAAACAAATCCTCCTTTTAAGTTGTCTTTCTCAAGTATTTTCCCAGTGAGGGAAAGCTGACTAAAACACAGAGAAAAGCTGCAAAATCTATGGGAGGGAGGCAGTATGATAATTGGGTAGAAGTTGTGGGGGATTAGTGTGCAAAATTATCAGAGGCTTATAGAGATGCTTTAGGATCCCTCAAATTCCAAAATGTATTTATATGTCCATGGGTAAAACACTGAACTAACCTCTAAGTAAAATACAGTTAAAAAAAATACTCAAAGTCATGTCCAGTTGCCAAGGGTCTCATAATCCAGTTAAGTAGTAGACACTGCCTGAAGCTCAGGACAGCATTTCCCTCAGCAAGAGGAATGGTGGATTCTGTCTGGCAGATGTTGTCTGGGATGCCTTGGGGGACTCTTGAGAACAAGAAGTTAGGATGAGGGATGCTCCAGAAGTGGGAGGATAAGACTGAAGATTAAGTGGAAGAAAGTCCTTTATGCCAGGAGGCTACTACAGCGGCTATCTGCTCTCCTTCTAGTCAGAGCTCTTCTGTCCACCATCCCCCTGCCCTTAAGGTCCTGTGGCTTCCATGCAGGTGTCATGCCTAGGTGAGAAGGCCATGTGAGCTGAGGGGCCTGCACTGACCACCAAGGTGGGGAAAGCCAGCATAAAAAGGCAGTGAGGTACCAAAGCAAGGGTTGCTGATAGATATCAAGGATAGTTGTAGATGTGTTCAGGCAGCTTTTAAAATAAGTAGCCAATAAGGCCATTAAGAAGACTGAAGTGACCTTATCCTTACAGTGGTACGCAGCCTGAGGTCTGCTGCTGTCCTCTGTACAGCCCATGGCCTCTCTGCCCTTTTTCCACATTGGAAGAGATGGTCCTATAAGCCCTCAGCACTAGAGGCATTTAGGGTCCTGGACATGGAAAAGTACAGATCTAGATAGGAACTTCCATGTCCTTATTCCCAGGGCTCTCACTTATGTAAACCAATCCTAGGGGGACAGGTCCACCTCAGTCTAAAAGCTCCCTGACCTTCTATAAACCCCCTGTCCTGAAAGAAGCCATGCAAGATGCCAGCCTAAGTCCTATCCTTACCCATAAAGGATCTAACTTCGAGGGGGTAGGGTTTTGGGGTAGATTAAATCAGCTGTAGGTCTGGGGATCCAGAGGAGTCTGAAGTCTTGGGAGAGAGGCACAGAAAGGTGAAACAGCTGTATCAATGTGAAATAAGACTGGACAGCCAGCAGCTTCCTCCAACCTGCTTCTGCCACCTCTTCTACTCAGGGAAGAAGGGTTGGGTGTACCTAGGCACTCATGCCCAGACTCGCCTTTTAGCTAGACTCCACTCCAACCATCCAGCCAGAGAACTCTGTTTTTATCAGTGAAAATAAAACATGTTTATTACTGTAAAACTTTATTAATACAGGTCCATAATCCCTTACTTGAAACCTTTGGGTCAGATGTATTTATAATTCCTTGCATATTAGAAAGGATTCTATCTGGCAGATGTTGAATATATTAACATTTCAGTAGAGAATTGCAAAAAGGCACACTAGAAGAAATTAAGGGTATAAATGATCTCACTTCAGTTTGGGTCAGGTTTGATGCCCAAATTAGGAAAAAACCCTTGGCTTTTGGATGTTTTTGCATTTTAGAATTGCAGGTAAAGGATTGGAGACCTGTACTTAACTGCACATTTACAGAACAGCATAGTTGTCGTTGAGACTTGGTGCAGTGGTGAATCACACAGATGGCAGTCAGACTGCCTGGTCTCATTACAGCTCTGCCTATGGCTCACCCTCTCTGGACCTCAGGTTTTTCACCCACAGCACAGGATTATTCTTCCACATATGCATGTTAGGAGGATTAAACAGCTTAATGAAAGTAAAGTGCTTAGAACCTTGCTTGATAATACACATAGAAAACCTTGGTGTCACTGAGACAGACATTTAAGTGCCATTCTTCAATAAGATCTAAATTACTAGCTCACTGTTGAGGCCCTGCAGGCCACAGCACAGGCTGGAAAATTTTTTGTAGTATCAAAGTCTTTCACATTCTTGGGCTTTGGTTTCCCAGAGAAGTAGAACACGGAAGTTTCAGAAGTTCTTGTAAGAAGGCTCTGTCATGGTTCCTGTGGATCCGGTAGGCTCCTAGCTAGAGGACAAACATGATGAAGAAGAGGCAGAGGAGGCTCCTCCATGAGTCCATTATCCACTGAAATCCAACAACCCCATAACAGTGAAACACTTACTTGCCCGGGTCCCTGGCTTCCTCTCCATTCCAACCCACCAGCCCCTTGCATATCATATAGCCTATGAGACGATAACTGTTTTTGTTTTCTTGGAACTTGAGATTGAACCCAGGGCCTTGTGCACACTAGGCAAGTGCTCTACCACTGAGCTATATCCTTAGCCCTTCTTAAAAATTATTTTGAGACAGGATCTCACTAAGGTGTACAGTCTGACCTTGAAATTATGATCTTCCTATCTCAGCCTCCTGAGTAGTTGGCATTGCCAGTAGCTGGAATGACAGGTGTGTGCTCTCACACCCAGCTATTGTTGCATAATCAAAGGAGACATGAGGGTTTTGCCCTATTGGAAGGTGAGGCTGAGAGCCTTTCCTGAGTTTCACACTTAAATATTTCCATATGACACAGCAAAAACAGATATTTCCCTTATTGTAGAAAGTAACATGTGTTCACTGTCAAAACTCAAACCATTCAAAAGGACAGGAAATAAAATAGGACTGTGTGTTGTTTCCCATCCTCCAGCTGCCTGCAAGTAAATAATAGACTCCTGGGCATCTGTCCTTTTGAGTTTTCCACATAAACAAGACACTCTCACCTTGACCACTCTATTTTCTTTACAAAAGGGGGTCATATATACATACAAGAACATATTTCTAAAAATAGGCACATATTCATAAATTTCTTCTCAGTACTAACAGATGGATGCCAAGACATTGTCCATATAATTCCTCCTAACTGTTGTTCCAGTTTTCCCTTAACTGATTGGAGCCTCAGTTTCCAAGTCAGGGAAGTGGGGATAAGAATAATGTAGCCAAATCCACAGGATGCCCATGAGGCTCAAGTGTGAGATATATATATATAGATATAGATAGATAGATAGATAGATAGATAGATATAGATATAGATATATATAGATATATATAGATAGATAGATATAGATATATATAGAGATATATATATATATAGATAGATATAGATATAGATAGATATAGATAGATAGATAGATAACATGAAATCATTCTGCAAATTGTCAAGTGGGAAACAGATCTGAGGAACTGTTATTACTGCCCTTCTATCTGCCCCCAACAGGAAATGTTTAGATTTTTTTGTTTTGTATTATTTTTTTGCAATGCTGGGGGATGGAGCCCATAGTCTTATATAGGCTAGGCAAATGTTCTACAATTAAACTACATCCTGAGCCCTGAAATGATTAGATTTTTTAGAAGGACTTCAGGAATGGAAAAACCATATCAGTTGCAGATATCATGTATAAGGAGGCTGGCAGAAATAAGAAGATAGGATGGACTCTTTGTGGTCAGATCACAGCTATCGGCCAGTTAGTTTAGTGTTTCTCTAGGGGACCCAAAATGCCCCTACAAAATACTTCCTTGATTTTGTAATGGGGAATTTTAATCAGCAGAGAGTCTGAGCAGCTTCTGTCCTTGCTGGGCTTTGGGAGTTAAGATTATCTTCTCCACCTGCAGGGAGGAAGGAGGGAAATGACAGATTGTTTTCTCCCTACCAATGCTTGGAATTGCTGGCTCCTGCCAGGGATGGTCTAAGATAGTGGGAGGGATCAGGGGCTGAGGCCAGGGCTAGAGACAGGAAGTGCCTTTCCCAATGCCTCTACCATCTTTGGTTTTAAGGCATTTTAGCCATGCTTGGGAGTATTAGGGCTTTTTTTCCACATATAACCCACCCAGCCTACAAATAAACTAGAGCTTGCCTGTAAAACTTCTCTCTGGTGTGGGAAAAAAGAACACAAAACAGATGAGGTGGGTGGTGGGCAGGGGTGGGAGAAGGGAAGCAAAGTGGTCCTGAATTCCCACCTTTGCCCTCTGCCTCTCTTTCTGGGCCCTTTCCAAGATCAGACTAAATGCTCTCCTTTTTTCTTATAGGGCTGCATCAGCCAGGAGGACCTCTCACACCTTTGTTTCTTCCTCACTTACCTTGAAGACACCTCTTTTTCAGTATCACAATTACAGCTACCAGCCCAACAAAGACCAGGACCGTGACCCCACCAAGTAGTGTGCCATTTCCACTGTCATTGCCAATAGAGGATGAGTCTAAGGAAGACAGAGAAAAGAGTCCAAGACCATGGGGTTGTCTACAGGTGTCCTGGCACCACCCTCTTCCCCATCTTGACTCCTCCTCAAGGTTAGCTCCTCACCCCATGCCACAGTGAGGGTGTGCTTCAGGCCAGGGTGCTGCACGTGGCAGGTATACCAGGCCTCCTTCCCAGCTGGCACCTGAACTGATGTTCATGTCTGATAAGTGCCATCCCCACTGGGGCGTGTCTCCACATGCTCAGTCTCCAGGACCAGCTCCTTCCTACCCAGCCACCAGCTCAGTGAGATGTCTGGTGGGTAGAAGCCCAAGGCCCAGCATCTCAGCATGGTCCCATCCTGGGTGGTGTGCTTTGTCACCTGCACCATGGGAGGCTCTGCAGGAAAAGGAGAGAACAATGCTGGTAAGCACCTCTCTGCTCATTCATTCCTCATGCTTTATCTCCATGGAGATCTTCCAAGTGTGGAGGACAGGAAGAAGGTAGGGATAGGATCTCTCTAGGGGAGGCACTCATGTTGAAACTTTGTAGGCATAGCTAAAGGGGCAGTGCCCTGAAAATTTCCAAAGGGGATGTGACTTCCTATTCCTAACCTCTGAGTAGGGTCCTATGTGGCCATATCCACCACCTTTTTCACTCATAGATCCTAGGATTTTTTTTTTCCCCCAGAGACTTTATATACCTACTCTTTGACTTCCAGCACATAGTAGGTACCTAACAAGTGGTTGTTAAATGAAGGCAAGGATGATAATACTTTCCTCACCTTAAAACTAGGATGGGGAGGAGTTTGAAGCCCCGCATGACCTCTTTCCAGCTTGGTGACCTGAGGGAGGCCCTTTAACTCTTCATTTTCTCAAAGCTTAATGGGGGATTAATCATTCTTTTTTTTTTTTTTTTCAGGGTTGTTCAAAATAAGATGATCTTGGTAAAGGATGTAGACCATGTCTTGTGCTAAGTGAGAATTTAACAATCATTGTGTAACATACCATAATATGGAGTTTTGGAAAGTGGGCATCATTATTACTATGCTATTCTGAAATATAGCATGTCCTGGCTCATAACTCCCTTCCCAAGACATCTCCACTGGGGAATTTCTCCATGTGCTCAGCCTCCAGGGCCAGCTCTTCTAGCCATGATTGTAATGAGATGTCTCATGGGTAGAAGCCCAAGGTCCAATACCCTAGCATGGTCCCATCCTGGATTGTGTGCTAGAATTTCTTTTCCCCATGGCTGGTTATAGAAACTCTAATCTTTCTCCATCTGTATTGAAGCTGACCATAAAGAAATTCTCTGACCTATCTTTGTCCAATAGATCAGACCATCCTCATTCCAGAAGGGGCCTTCCTCATATCCTGGAGGGAAGAATGCTGTACAGAGAGGCCAGAAAAATGCTGCAGCAGGCAGGCCATAGGGGGTTTCCCCACACAGTCTATTATCATTAGTGCCTATGTAATGGAGTCCCCATACAAACCCAAAGGACAGGGTTTGGAGGGATTCCACATTGCTGAACACATAGAGATTCCTGGAGAGTGGCAGGCCCAGAGACAGCATGGAAGCTCCACACCTCTTCTCTCTTTCCACATTCTAAACGTATCTTTATCTGTATCCTTTGTAACATCCTTTATAATAAACCCATAAACATAAATGTTTCCCTGAGTTCTGTGAACCACCAAAGCAAATTAACGAAACCCAAGGAGTGGGTTGTGAGAATTTATAGCTGGTTGGTCAGTTAGAAGCACAGTAAAACAACATAGGATTTGTGACTGGCATCTAAAATAGGGGTGAGGAAAGTAGACCTGGGGACTGAGCCCTCAATCTGTGATCTGGCACTGTTTCAAAGTAGACAGTATCAGAACTGAATTGGATTAGGGTATGCCTACAGACAGGGTGTTCATTGCTCAAGACAATGCTGTGGGTCAGCAGAGAGCCCAGAATTCCTTACTCTATCACACCTGGAGCAAGGGATCAAGGTTCAGTTTTGTGTGAGGAAACTGTTGGCTAATTGGCCCTCCCTTTGGAGGGAGGGATAAGCTGTGTCCTCTTAGTGAGCTCTTCCAAGAGGACACAGCTTATCCCTTCTTCTCTCCCAGGCTTCTCTGTCAAATGGGACACCTCTTGTGAATGGGAATATATGGCTCACTCTTTGCATGGCTGCTGCTGACTGGGCCTTACCTATCTGAGTGAGGCTCTGGCTTTCCAGCTCCAGATACCTGTGCAGGGAGATGAGGCAGAGGCTTTCCAGGTAGGCCTTGTCGAACTCTGCATAGCAGCGCTCCATCTCCCACCAGCGCTTGGTCCGCACAGCCACTGGCTCTGCTGACACCCAGCTCAGTGTCTCTAGGTCCAGAGACAGGTGGTCCTGTCCATTGAAGCCAAATTGCCAGAAGCTTCTGGACCTGCCATCTTCCTGGATCTCACAGCCAAACATGCGCTGAGCACTGTGTGTACCTGTATATGCAGGCCAAAAGGCCCTGGTTATTGAAGGCCACAAGGCCAGAGTCTAGAGAGCCAGGGAGAAGCCTGCCACCTATGGGCCCTCCAAATGGTGGGGTGGGCATTGGCATTAAAAAAAAAAAAAAAAAAAAGCTACCCAAAGAATTCCCATGAGCAGCTAGGGTTATCCACATACCGCCACTCTGATTGTGGTAGCCCATCACCGTCCACATCTCCACCTGCTGCACCTTCTCCCAGGCCCTCTGTTTCTGGGTTTCTGTCTCCCAGTATACTGGGTATCCACTAGTGCCATCCACGGGGCCTGAGGCTCAGCCTTCCCTCTGCGACTGTCATACCAGATGAAGGGCTGGTCATCCACATAGCCCACAGCCAGAAACTTCGGGAGGCCTGGGCATGGCTCTGATAGGGTTAGGTAGTGGTGGTGAAGTGAATGGGTCCCTGTAGAAACACAAAAATGGTCTCAAGTTCACACACACAGCTGGGACCTGTATGAGGTTTGTAACAGGATGGAGTGAAGGGTAGAAACCTATCCAAAAAATATTCTGTCAGCAAGATTAAAAACTGGGAATTTTAAGGGCAGCTTAGTAGTAGAGTGCTTGACTAGCCAGCATGAGGCCTGCAGTTAAATTCTCAGCAAAGCACATACATATATACTCACACCCCAAAAATGCAAAACTGGAAATTTCAGTTAAAAAAAGAAAGGATGGGGGAATGGAATGGGGAGTTATATTTAGTGGGTATAGAGTTTCAGATTAAGAAGATGAAAATATTCTAGAAATGGATGGTGACGATGGTTATCCAATAATGTGAATGTATTTAATGCCACGTTAACTATATACCTAAAATTTTTGTTATGTATTTGATCACAATAAAAGGCATCCAAATAGCTTAAGCAATCGATCAATTAAACACTTAAACTAAAGTTCATGCATTAAAGCTCATGGACTTTACTCCTAGAAAGTTCTCAGCATCTCATTCATGGTCTAGTTATTCAGAGCTTACAGTCATCTCTGTAAGTAATGATCATCTCACAATTTAAAAGAACATGGTTTTTAAAATCTTGGTTGTTTGGAACCTTAATTTATTTAAACATTCTCCAGAGAAATTTGATCAAGTCCATCCATCATTCTTTTCTTGAGCCATCTTGCCAAGTTGGTGGTTTATTATTTTTTTAAACAGTGCTGGGGATTAAACCCTAGACATCTCTCATACTAGGCAGGGGCTCCACTAGTGAGCTACATCCCCAGCTCAAGTTGGTGGCATCTTGATCTCCACTCCCTGCTTTCTTCTCCCACAGCAGACATTGCTAGCCCATCTGTTCTGAAATGCAAATGCTGCCTCAAGGTTACTCTGTACCATGTCTCCAGAAGCCTCAATTCAACCATTCAGTGTTTCTAGAGATGAAATCTATTTAGCAGCCAGTCTTGACTCCAGCTATTAAAATAATGCTGTATCTTTTTTAAAAGTCACTGCACTGGGCTGAAGGTGTAGCTCAAGGGTAGAGCATATGCTTAGCAGGCATGAGGGTTCACCCAAAAAAGTAAAAGAAGAAAATTCACATTTTTTCTCAGAAATATCCATGGCTCACTCCCTTACCTAATTAAGCAGAGTTTTTACTTGCATGTCACCTTCTCAGTGAGGGCTTTCTTGCCTACTCCATTGAATATTGAATACTTATCCTCCCATCTCTGCAATATTTTTTCTTCAGAGTACTACAATCCTATCTACAAAATGCACTTTGTTTATCTTGTTAATGGCCAGGCTCTCCCCAGCAATCTCAGCTACTCAAGGACATTATAATCTCTTACTTTTTGTCAAGAACAGCACTGGGCACACAGTCAGTGCCCATGTTTAAACAGTCACATGTGGAAGAAGTCAGACACATCTCCACTGTAGAGGTAGGCTGTTTACTACCTCTTTGTGATGTTCTGGCCACACCAAACTCCATCCAACCCCTTTGAACATACTATTCCTTCTATCCCAAGAACTTTCCTCCCTCTCTTGCCTAAGTCAATTTCTTTTCATCCTTCTCTTTATAGCTCAAGTGTCCTTTTCCTTCAGGAAGCCCTCCTTACTGATTCCAGTCTGACAACCTTCAGAGGGGCCTTAACAGTGTCCTGTGCTCTCTGCAAAGATTGTGGCCTCTATGAGAGTGGGTGTTTGAGTAAACACTAGTCCTTACCTGAGAAGGCTCCTCCTCTGGGCAGTAAAATAAGCATGAACGAATGTGATAATGAAGGAAATGAACCGGGGAACTGCCTATTTCCCTGGTCTCCAATCTTTAGGTGAGGAACAAAGCAGAGTGACTTTGGTTGTAAAGTAAAACAGTGTACTTGTAAAACACCTGAAGAGCTTCAGCAATGAAGAGGTACTAAGCAACTCAGTGAGACCCTGTCTCTAAATAATACACAAAATAGAGCTGGGGATATGACTCAGTGGTCAAGTGCCCCTGAGTTTATTCCCCACTATCCCCCTCTCAAAAAAGAAAGAAACATCTGAAGAAATCCATCTGTTCAGTAAGCATGCAACCTATCCCATATACTCTTGCTTGAGGTGTGGGGTGGCACCCCATGGAGGTGTGTAGGCCCTCTAGCCTACAGCCACCAAGGAGACCCTGAATAATCTAATGTCCAAAACCTCTCTGTTGAGTCCTCCAAGTTCCTTCTTTGGGATTGGTAATCAGTATGTTTGGGGCATTTGTACCCCTGGGGTAAACCGTGGGTAATACATCTACTGTTTCCTCTTAAGTCATGCTTGGCTCATAGTCAGCACTTATTTTCTGCATTTGTTGAAGTGGGGGGAAAAGAAGGCATAAATGGAAGTGACAAAAATCACAAGTGCTAATTTTTGAATGATAGCTCGTGCCCTTGATAGAATGAAGAACCCCCACTGCTCTGCTTTTTATTCACTATCACAATCTTCACAATGAATTTAAGAGGTTGGTGTGATTGGCTTCATCTTACAGATGAGGTAACTGAGGCTGAGTTGTTATGATTCAGTTTCTCATGACTGCAGCCACTTTGATTCATAATCCATGATTGCTTTTCAGTAACTCTTGGTTTTCCTGAAGGAAGATAGATAGATAGAACCATTAAGAGTCCTATGTAGGGGTTTACAACCAGACTCTGGCTCTAGTGTTAGGGGACAAACAGATGAGGATGGTGGGAAAGTGAGATTAAGATAATAATTCTATAAAATGGAACCACTGTGCTGACCTTCACATACTTTCTTCACCCCACATGCTTTCTTTGCCAAAAAAGCAATTTATCTGCTGCCCTGCCAGCCTACATGGACAGGGTATGTCACAAAACTTCCTGTTATCTGCAAGAAAATGCAGGCAGGAAATAACATTGATAAGAGGAACTCAAAAAGGTACTTTGAAGGGAGAAAGATTTGTGACCCTTTTCACAGACCAGATTCTGGAAGATAAGGATAATTCCTCCTAATCACAAAACCTATAAAAAATGATTAAGAAAAAATCTAATTAGAACTGCTCAGCATGGACCAAGAGAACCTAGCATTGTCATGGCAATAAGTACTTGAAAGTCTGTTGTCACCCTGCTGTCAGTCAAAAGTCAAGAGGGGGACATGCGTAGAACTCTGGAAACTTCCCTGGGACCCCCCAAATAAAATTGGAATGCAGGAGAGACAAGTTGTCTCTCTCCTCTCTGAGAGGACCCATTTTCTCCCTTGAGAGTGTCCTCTTTCCCTTTCCTATCCCTTCAATAAACTCATTCTTGTTACTCTGAACAACATGTCTGAAAGCTTTTCTGACTTGATTGCAAGAATCTGGGTTTGGGGGGTGGGTCTTCACACTGCCTCAGTTTCCCAGATCGCCCCAGATGTGTAATACAGGGGTGCATATAACTTTTTGATATTATCTTAAGACAAATCAGGTATGTTCCAGCCAAGATAAAGTTACCTTTGTTTTAACCCTTCTTGTCTCCCTTTTCTAACACAAATTGCTAGAATTCAAGTGGTCTTGCTGCCACTGCTTACAAAAAGACAGTACTAGAAAGAGGTGGGGTGGTGCCTGGATTCTCTCCCTAGATCTTTCTGCCTTTTTGTAAGCAGAGAAAAGAAGAACTACCTCCTCAGAGCTGGAGAAACTTCATGGGGGTCAGAGAGGGGTCATGGTGGAGGGGTAGTTGAGTGAATGGTTGACATCAGCTTGGGTCAGCCTGAATGTGAAATTATAACAGAGCAGTTCATTTTTTTAACAGAATTATTTTCTCAAATTCCCTCAGGAATATGATTTAAAAGGCTATTTCTTCCTCCTTCCCTCCCAACCTACCCCTTCCCCTGATCTCTTCCAGATCTTTTTTTTAAATATATTTTTAGTTGTTATAGACCTTTATTTTTTTCATATGTGGTGCTGAGAATCAAACCCAGTACCTCACACATGCCAGGTAAGTGCGCTACCGCTGAGCCACAGCCACAGCCCTCTTTTTTCAAATCTTTAATAACCTTTCTTTTTTACATATTATTCTAAATTCTATATAGAGCCCTCAGGCTGGGGATATAGCTCAGTTGGTAGAGTGTTTGCCTTTCATGCACAAGGCCCTGGGTTCAATCCCCAGCAAGACACACACACACACACACACACACACACACACACACACACACAAATAGAGCCCTCTGTAATACCCTCTCCTCTTTGGAAAAGGAAATCCAGATGCTGGTCCCAGGAGGTTCCCTTTGGTGTGATGAAGAGGGAACAGAGGCTAAAAGACATGACACTCGTAGAAGTAGGCAACCTCTACCCAGCACAGGGATTTCTTGCCTTTTGTCCCATTGTATCTCCTTTTCTCCCCTCATAAATGCTGTTCCCATTTATTGATTATTGATTTTATTTCTTACACTTTAGGAGTCTTGTTAAGGAAGTCAGGGCCTAATCTGACACAATGAAGATTTGGGCCTACTTTTTCTTCTATTAGGCATAGGGTCTCTAGTCTAATTCCTAGGTCCTTGATCCACTTTGAGTTGAGTTTTGTGCAAGGTGAGAGATGGGGTTTAATTTCATTTTGCTGCATATGGATTTCCATTCTTCCCAGCAGCATTTGTTGAGGAGGTTATCTTTTCTCCAATGTATGTTTTTTGGCTCCTTTGTTTAGTATGAGATAACTGTATTTATGTGGGTTTGTCTCTATGTCTTCTATTCTGTACCATTGGTCTACACGTCTATTTTGGTGCCAATACCATGTCATTTGTTACTATAGCTTTGTAGTATAGTTTAAGTTCTGGTATTGTGATGCCTCCTGTTTCACTCTTCTTGCTAAAGATTGCTTTGGCTATTCTGGGTTTCTTTATTTTTCCAAATGAATTTCATGATTTTTTTTTTTTTTATTTCTGTGAGAAATGACATTGGGGGGCTGGGATCATGGCTCAGTGGCAGAGCACTTGCCTCGCATGTGTGAGGCACTGGGTTTGATCCTCAGCACCACATATAAATAAATAAAAAATAAAGGTATATCAACAATTAAAAATATTTTTTAAAAAATAAATGACATTGGGATTTTAATTGGAATCTCATTGACTCTGTATAGTGCTTTGGGTAGTATGGCCATTTTGACAATATTGATTCTGACTATTCAAGAGCATGGAAGATCTTTCCATTTTCTAAGGTCTTCTTCAATTTATTTCTTTAGTGTTCCATAGTTTTCATTGTAGAGGTCTTTCACCTCTTTTGTTAAATTGATTCTGAGTTATTATTTTTTTGAGGCTATTGTGAATGGGGTAGTTTTCCTAATTTCTCTTTCAGAGGATTCATCACTGATGTATAGAAATGCATTTGATTTATGGGTATTGATTTTATAACCTGCTACTTTGCTAAATTCACTTATTAATTCTAGAAGTTATCTGGTGGAATTTTTTGGATCCTCTAAGTATAGAATCATGTTGTTGGCAAATAATGATTGTTTGAGTTCTTCTTTTCCTATTAGTATCCCTTTAATTTCTTTCATCTTTCTAATTGCTCTGGCTACAGTTTCATGGACTATGTTGAATAGAAGTTGTGAAAGAGGGCAGCCCTGTCTTGTTCCAAATTTTATTCATTTAGAATGATGTTGGCCTGGGGCTTAGCATAGATAGCTTTTAAAATGTTGAGGTATGTTCCTACTATCCCTAGTTTTTTTAGTGTTTTGAACATGAAAGGGTGCTGTATTTTGTCAAATGCTTTCTCTGCATCAATTATATCATATGATTGTATCTTTAAATCTACTGATGTGATGAATTACCTTTATTGATTTCCATATGTTGAACCAAACTTGCATCCCTGGAATGAACTCTACTTGATCACGGTGCACTATTTTTTAAAATATTTTTTTGTATGCGATTTGCCAAAATTTTATTGAGACTTTTTGCATCTATGTTCATCAGGGATAGTGGTCTGAAATTTTATTTCCTTGATGTCTCTGTCTAGTTTTGGTATCACAATGATACTAGCCTCATAGAAT